ATACAAGTTTCAGAAGTTTTGTTTTTTGGTTAAAAAATACATAAATAATTAATGATTTAGAGATAAACCAATAAATCACAAGTAAAAAATGGACCTAAAAACACAGTACTAATGTTTTATATGCATATTACAAACACGTCCTATTTTGTCGGCAGGAAAAATAGACAGTCTATTTCTTCTAATTTTGATCATATAATAGCATACATTTGGTATTTACTGTGGGGACACACTCACCGAACACATAATATTTGTTTTTTTTTTTTTTACTAAAATTCGAATATTTACCATTGTCATTATAAACGTGTTTTTGCAAATTTATATCTAAACAATATTATTTGTTAGGTTCTGTTTTGATACATCATTTATATGGGGACAATGATGTTATTTATAACAATTTTTACACATATAGATATTCCCGTTAAACAATCATGACAAAAAATCTATAGATGTAAATGTGCATATTTTCTTGGTAGGGTTTTTGATTGAATCGGAGTAAAATTGAATTGTGACAGCTGTTAACGGAGATTCTCATAGAAAAGTCTAGTTAATATTTAACCTCGAGGAGATTTAAAATTACTTTTTAAAATACACTTTTAGTTATTAATTAAAATTTATTAGAAATTATAAAATATTAAAAATATTAAATTAAAAAATAAAAAATAAACATTATTTTTAACTAATAAATAAAAAATAATAAAAACTTAAGTAAATATTCATAAGTAAAAAAAATTTATAAAAAAATATAGTTATTATATTAAAATTATAAAAAAATAATAAATATTTTTTAATAAAATTTTATTATTAATAATTATTTATTCTCAACACTAAAAATTTAACAAAATTTTTATTTTATTTTTAATTTTTAACTTAGTTTCTATTTTCAGATTGACTAGTATTAAAGTAATTAGAGGAGTTGATATTATCTGCAGTTTGAAAAAAATTAACAACATTCAATTTTAATCATGAAAATCACCATAATTTTAATTTTAAAATTGAAATTAAAGACTTTGTGGATCCAAAATTCTAAATTTCTTTACCAACAAAAAATAAACTGCTAGTAAGTGAAAGGAGCAAAATAAACAACGTGCTATATTTCCTCTCTTTAAAAAAATATGAAAATGTTTTTTTAAAAACAATTTTTATAATATTTTTTCAATAAAGAAAGACATAAAAATATAAAATAAAAGAGATAATATGATAAATAAAAATAATAATAAATCATAAAAAGTATTATATATTTTAAAATAAAAATAATAGTGTTACAGGTAGAAAATTATGTGAGGAAGATGAATGTGACTATTCATACATTCATTTTCAGTTGTGTGACTTTGGTTTTGGGTAGTTAAAATTTATTGCTTTGAGCTTGTTTATGTTTCTGAGTGTTTGGAACAGTTCTGAGCATTCAATGTTCTGATTCCCGGATTCATCACACCCTGCTCAACCCTGTACTTTTAATTTTCAACCATACAATCATTTATGGTCAATGCACACAGTTCTCTTTTTTTTTTAATCTTATTTTCCACATAAATCAATGTCATGAGCCGATAAAAGTCTAAAGTTATATTTATTTATAAATCTAAGATAAATACTAGTTATTATCTTTTTAGCTATTTTTTTATTTCTATCCAGTATTTAAATACTTTGCTTATTTTTTTGAAAAATAAATACTTTACATACTTAACATAAAGTGAAAAAAAATAATAGTAAGAATTATATTAACAAATTTAAAATATTTTTAATACAAATAAAAAACAATTATATTGACATGCGTATTATTCTTTTAAGTAAACAAATAACAAAACAGAGATAATAGCATAATAATTATAAAAAAAAATTATCGTCAAATTAGTACTTTAAAAATTTAAATCATCATTGTATTATTCCTTCAACAATTTTATCATCAAATTATTTTATAAAAAATATAAAATGTCACCACTTCAGTTCAAATAAAAAAATTACAATGGTAAAAATTAATTAATTACACTAAATTTAATGATATATTCCTTCTGCTTCTTATTATAAAAAAAAAAAGACTAAATTATTAAGATTAAAAAAATAGTTAAATATGTTATATTTTTTTATAAATATAAATTTTATTCTAAAAATATCTATGATATTAAATAATATAGTTAGTAATTTATATATTTAATAATACCAATAAAAGAAGGATGTAAATTTTTTTTAACAATTAATGTATCTTGAATCTATTATTTGTTTTTTAAAAAAATTTATTTTATTTTTTATAAAAAAAATTAGAGAGAGTATAATCTTTGTAAATTAAATTTAAAATTTTTTCATATTAACCTTTTATAAAGGACTAAAGTGACAAAAAAATTATATAAGACTAATCCTTGTATTTATTTTTATCTGTTATATTATAAGAAAGTAATTTTTTATCAGTCATTTTTAAAGTTTTAAAAATTATTTAATTTTTTATTAATTAATTCCTTGACTTAAAATAAGTGAAGAATAATTAATAAAATAGAAAATTTAATATAAAATAAATATTTAATCTATACTTTAATTCATATATAAAATCTAAAAGTAACCTATAAAAAGTAAACCAAGTTAGTAATTTGATGATATTAACACAATGTTTTAGAACTAATTTTAAGTATTCAAAAGTAATAAAATATTATTAAAATACAAAAGTGTGATAAATATTTTATTCTATTTTTGTACACTTCTAAATGCTTAAAATTAATTTTAAAGACTGTCAGTAGATACAATTATTAAATTTTTGAAACATTAATTTGGTGACAACTGTGTTTTAGAAAATTTCTCTAAAAATATGGAAGAATTAATTTAAATTAAAAAATTAAAAAATTAGTGTGGAATTGTATAAAACTTTTTTAAATTTCTAAAAAAATATATAATTAAAAAATATTAATTAAAATTATTACATCAATCATGAGAATAAAAGTAAAAATTATCTTTTAATTTATATAAAAACACTAAATATAAAAAAAATTACCTTTCATTTTTTATAAGAAATAAAAAACTAAAATACTAATATTAAAAAATAATTAAATCAGTTATATTTTTTTTATAAATATAAATTTTATATCAAATATACGGATAATACTAAATGATGTAATTATTGTATTATAAATATATATTTAATAATAATGAATAATATAATTTTTTTAATATATTTTAAATTTATTATATATTTTTATAATTAAAATTTAAAAAATTTTCATTTTGTTGTTTATAAAAACGACGGAAAGGAAATATTAAATAAGGAGCCACGACATTAACACTTTGTTTAACACGTATAACTGGTCAACTTAAAAACACAAATTAATACCAACAAGCATCACACATCTTAACGCTAACATTTTTGCATCCTCTTCAGTAATGGGTCCCAAATATTTAGTACCCGCACCCAAAGTTTCCCCACAAAGCACATATTTAATATTGGAGGGTCAAATGTGGAATTTTCTTTTTCAAAAACATTTTGGAGTTTATTTGTCAATGAATAGTTGATTAGTTAAAGTTTTAACAAAATATCTAAAAGTTATTAAGCTAACTTTGAATTATTAATATTTATAATATTTTTTTAAACTAATTAATGAATATAAAATAACAAAAAAATACATATCATTACAATTTTTCTATTTTATCTAGTAGGTAAGAATATATTTGTAAGGAATTGTAATGTTAGAGCTCACAAAATTTTTGGTTTTAAAATTGAACGTTTTATTAAAGATTAAAATAAACACCATAAATAATCTGATTCTTAAAAAAGAAACAGTAGTTTTAATGTTTTATCGTGTTATTTCCATACTAATACATAAAATAATATTTCATCTAATATTCCATAATAAAACACTAATTTTTTTAATATCAGAGATGAAAAAAACAGTAGTATATTATAAATTATGAGATCATATCTTATTTTAAGCAGTATTTGAAAAATAATTTTAAGTTGGTAAGATATATAAGTTGCTTTATCAAATATCTTAATTATGGTAAAATAAATTTATGTTTTCTTTTTAATTAACAATTTTATTGATCATCAAATAACTTATAATTTTAACTGACATGAGTAGTTAAACACAAATTTTATTTAAAAAACTTATTGTTTTTAACTTTTGTATTAAAGTATGGTTAAATCATAACATTCAAGAATATTTTATTCATCGAATTTAACTTAAAAATAAATTTTTATGCTTATAAATTATAAAATTTATTAAATGACTTTAATTTAAAAATTAAAATTCTTATAATATTATATGTATTGGTAATAAAAGTACCTAAGATTCGACTAAAAGAATTAATAAAAAATTATTATAGGCTACAATAAGATATATTAAAATTTACAGTAAAAGTAGGTTAGTAATAATTTTGTTTTATAAAGTCAATAACGTTATTCTAATATTATTTATTGAAAACATTGTTTGATGTTATTAGATTATAATTAAACGATTGAATTATAGTTATTTAACACACTATTTGGTAAAATTAAGAAAAAGCTTGTAATTGATAAGTTTAAGTTAGGTTAAACTTATAGTTTATAACTAACTGAAATGAATTAAATCAGAACATAGTAAAGTTATTTTGTATGCATAAAATTTATTTAATATGTTAAAGGTAAAAAAATAATTATTAAAAAGTAACTTTCAATAACTTAAATGTTACTTGAAATAATTAATAATAAATGTTTTTAAAAATATAAACTTATTTTCTCAACCTATAAACTCTTTATTTATTTATTTTATTGATGGAACAATTGTTCATTAACTCCCTTAAAATGTATTAAAAATTTTAAAAAAATCACATGAGTAATATTTGTATCAACAAAAATTACTTGATTAAATAATATTTTTATGAAGTATCAAATGAAAGAGTATATGTTTATCATGACAATAATATAAAAGATATTTAATAATTAGAAAAAGTGAATATTTTTGTTGAAAAAGTGACAGGGCATGTCTTGCAGGAAATGGCTAATAAAAAAAGGTGGAGTGAGTGTGGTTTCATGTGTGTGAAGCAAATGACCCAACAGCCTCCAAGTCCCCCCTTTCAGAAGCACAGCACTAAGCATTTGAAGCAATGGAACCGGAAATATAGAACAACCGTCGCTGCACTCTCTCAAAACACAGAGAAGAATCAGAAATGACAAAACCAAACTCTTGCAACAAAGGTGGCATGGGCATGCTCCTAGTCTTATTCCCCCAAGACAACAAATCCACCATTGCCGACAAACCCAAACTCAATTTCCCCACTCCATCAAAATCCCTTCTCTCCAAAGCACAATCCACAGTCTCAATCTGCGCACTTCTTCTCTTCACCACCCTCCTCCTCTTCACCCTCTCCGCTATCCCCAACACCCCTCCCACCATTCACACACCCCTTTCTCACACCCACCATTTCGCGCTTCACCGCATGGGCACTCTCTACCGCAGAGGCACCACTTCCATGAACACCCTCATCGTCTGCCATGTCTCAGACGATACCCCCCTCGACCATTTCCGCTTCTTCCTTAGACTCCTCCACAGGTCCTCCCTCACCGCCTCATCCGACGTCGTTTTCATCTTCCCCTCTCCCCCCTCCACTTCCAAATTCGCCCCCATCATTCGCCAAGAGAATCACGCATTCTCTTCGCTTCTCCACTCCCATTTCAACTCCACGCGCCCCAAATCCACCTTCGACCCTAACCGTTTTCTCTTCAAGGAAGCACAGGTGGGAGGAGAACCCGTTTGGGGCAGTAAAATTCGAGCCAATTTAAGTAACCGCCACTCGCTGAGTTATGGATCCGTGCTGAGTTTCGACGCCACTGAACTCGACCCGGAGAACTCGCTCGCCGGGTTTCTCGACCGCGTTCCACTCACTCTCAGAAGGTGGGCGTGTTATCCCATGTTACTCGGCCGAGTTAGGCGCAATTTCAAGCACGTTCTGCTCGTGGACGTTAAAAACGTGGTGATTTTTAAAGACCCGCTCGGGCGAGTCCGGAATCGGAGCCCCGACTCGGTTTTTCTTTTCGCCAAAGCAGAGAAGCGTAGCAGAAAGAGTCAGTTGACTCAGTCAACTCAGCGCCCGGTTCTCTCCGCCGTTGTCATGGGCGGCGCTCGCGGCGTTCGGAGGTTGTCCAACATTATGGCGGTGGAGATCGTGCGTGCCGCGACTCAGCACAAGAAGAAGAAGAACCCGGTGTCCGAGTCGGTGGTTCTGAGTCAACTCGTCGGCGATGAGTTTATTTTGAAGAGTAAAAACGTTAATTTGATCGCATCCGCCGAGTCAATACCCGAGGCGAGTTCACTCGCTGCACACAACTCAGGTGCTTCCACGTCATTTTCTAGTTATGCAATAATTCAACGTGGTGTGAATAATCACGACCTTAATTATGTCATCAAGAAGCAAATATGTTCGTCCGAGGTGGATTCTTCTGTCTATAGAGATTGTTAACACTTAGAATAATAAATCACGGAGAAAAAAATAAGAAGAAAATTCATATTATTATTTTTTATTATAAAGTTTTCGCCCTAGTCTGACCAATTTTGTTCCCACTAGTGTATATATTCATCTTGGAATTACATTTTTGTATTGTTCAATGAAAAAGTTATGGACCAGTGTGTTCAATGTTCATGTGTGAAAATATGAATGGAGCTGACAGAAGATTTGACCATGCAAGAGATGCAGCCACCACGGAGCATTGCATTGCAATATTCTCTACTAAATAATATTTGGTCAGGGTGTAATACAATCAGAACATGTTTAATTTATTTTTTCCTCTATAGTCATTTAAATAATTTGTTTTTGGACCTTGATTTGCGGCACTTGTATTTATTTATTTATCCATAATTGAATTATGCAATATCATATTAGTTGTTTCAACCAAAGGTAAAAAGAACTTGAAGTAAAGTTTTGGAGAGGTGAGGGTGAACAGGCATTGATTGGTGCATGTGCTTGTGGTCTTTTTGGCTCCAGCAAAGTACGCGTTAGCAATAAACATATAACAAATATTTTCAAAATTCCAGCTCCTAAAGCAGAAAGGGTACGAAAACGTGCTTATTACGCGGCTCTGTTTTTTGGCTTTGCCAAGTAAACGAGGGCTTTTACTTCGTGCGGCGTAAAAGCAGTTATTTTGGCTTTAGTTTAATCGTGAACGTGATTGATTTCTGCATTCCTCATTTGATTTATAGTAATTAATAAATAGAGACGTGGATGAATTAGGAAAGATGAGAAGTGTGCATTTCAATGTGTTTCAGCTTGTTACTCCCAAATATAGTTCCTTTCTCCTTTCGTTAAAATGGCTGCAAAATTGAGGGGATCTTAGTCGTTGACTTTTATACCTGTTATGGTAGCTTGCAAATAAGGCTACTCTCTACAGACATCTTTTTTTTTTTTTTTTTTAATTTCAAAGGTGTTGGTTGAAGAATTAATTAATAAATTTTTATTAAAAATATATGCAACTTTTGTCTTTTTTAATGAGTTTTTATTTTGATTTTTTAACTAGTGTTTTAAGGGAAATTATTTAAATAAATTCTTTTAATTAGGCGATCTATGCACGGTGAGTGTGAGATGTACCCTAATAGTAGATACATGTGAGACGAAGCCTGGTCTATGGCGCACGCCTGAAAAGGGATGCACTAATCCGCACACTCGAGTAATTGTTGATACTGCTCAACAAAGTGCGTTTTGCATAGTCTAGAAACCTTAAATTAGGATTTGAACAGAATATGATTCTTAGAACATTTGTTCAAAATTATAATCCATGATACTAAATATTCCAATCATAAACTTGAATGGCCGTTGACAAAACAAAAACCTTAATGGCCTAATCACACAGATTACCCGAAATTCGCTTCCATCTTTTTAAAAAGGAACGTCCATTATATTCTACACTAACCTGTTTTATGGTTCTTGATTTTACGTACAAAAATGTTTATTTGCATTGGTATATATCTTCATTCTTTTGCCTAATCCTTTTGATAATACTTGGATAATGGACCTCCTTAATCATTGACATAACGTTGATCTTTATCTTCAAATAATGATCAAAACAAGAGTGAATCACGTAGCAAACTCTACATGTAAGACAAGCCGCAAGCCACACTTTGTTTTGTAGTTATTGTTGACATTGCTTTTCTCCCGTATTGTTTTCCGAAAGAGGTGTTTGTTTTCTCACTTTGGAAAGTAAAAAACAATCAAATTTTTGTTGAAAGAAAAATGCAGTTCAATGTGCCATTGCGCCTATAATTTATGCAGACACACTAGCGAATTCATCATAACGACTTGAAAACGTGAGAATGTTAAATTTACAATTTCTTTGGGTATAATACCCAAAATGGTGTCCGAGTAACATTTTCTTTGTAGTTTTTAACAAGCTTATGTGGTTAGTTCTTGGCTTAATGTGAATAGAAGGAAACGGATTGAGGGAGTAAAGTATTGGTTGAAATTTTTACTTTGGTGCTGACCAAATGCTCCATCATCTTTCCTTTCCCTTTCCACGGCGAAAACCAATTAGCCAATAATTAGTCACCGACACCAATAATGGGGTAGCTGCTCGTTGCAGCGCCATTGATATAACAAGATATCGAAATTCTTATATATAGACATATACTCAAATTAGAAATTCACATGCGTAAAGCTGTGAAGGTTATATTAGAAACACACTTATTCAAAAAGATTTTATATTTAATTGCTGATTTGAGTGTAAGTTTTGTCCACCTAATTTATTTCTCCCACAGGATATTAGCTTCTTTTTCTCTCTCTTTTTTGACCATTTTTTTCTTAGTGTTTAAGAAAGACGATTGATCCATTTCAAAGAGATGATTAATATAGGATAAGGAAGAGGCATGGACGATTTTTGAATCTTGAGCTGCAAACGATCCATTCCTAGTGTGAAACACATAATATGAGCAAGCATAACGACATTTTATATTTATAAGTTATACCCACTTATTTCTCATATTTTTCATTCAAGTCAATGAATAATATACATTGGTCCCACTATAACGTTGTTTATTTTAATGGTTTACGTTGTAATCACACACAGTTTGTTTGGGTGTCTTTTCCCTGTGAACAAAGGCATGTATACTACAAGGAAGAGCTGTGCATATGGGTAGGACACTCGAGCTTTTTGGGTCATGGAAAGAAGTAAAAGAGGAAAAAAAATAAAAATAGAAAAGTAAAATTAAGAGAAAATGAGTAAAAGTGACATGTATTTTTAATTTGTTGAAATTGAGAGAAATAAAACATAAGTAAAAAAGAAAATTGAATATTCTCTATGTCTATTTGGTTGGGGAGGGTCAAAGACAATTAGAAGCCTAGTAATCCAATGTTTTTTTTTTTCCACAACCGACAGAATTCTAGCTTTTAGCGAGATCTACAATGTTTTATTCCATCTTCTCTCAATTCTCTCCTGTTCCAAATAGTAGACATTTCTTTTCACAATTATTTTTTCCTTTTCCTCTTTCTCTCCTAAATTACTACAACCGAAGGTTAGACAGAGTCCTAGAAAAATATATTTATGTTGTTAAGAAATTCACTTATCAGGAATTCAGGAAAAAAAGAGAAATTGAATATTTTCCAAGTAAATCTATAGTTTACTATTAATTGTTAATTTAAGTAAACTTATAAAAAAATCTTTAAAAGAGAAAAAAGTTAATATAAAAAAAAATATTTTTTTAAATTAAAAATAAATTATTTATTTAAATAGAGAAGTTAAATGAGAGAACTTAAAATAATAATTTAACTCATAAAACGAGAATAATTTATTTTATTATTTAATTTTTTTTACTTTTATCAATACTTATTAAAATTTTTTATCTAAATAATATATTATTATTATTATTATTATTATTATTATTATTATTATATGCTCAGCATTCTAAGACAGAAGTGGGTTACTAATATCAATTTAATATATATGAGAAATTTCAATAGACAATATTATCGGACAATTGTTATCAGTTTTGTTAGGAGTAAAAAGATGAGTAATTGATTTTTCATAAGTTTTGTTTTATCCTTCCTTCTCTCTGTCCATTTAAAAATATTAAAATAACATATATAAAGATTTAAAATCGTTTTATTTTTATTTTTATCTTCAACGTTAACCGATGTTGTCATATTAATCCTTATTAAATAGACAGAACATAAGCTTTTGACCTACTTTTATCAATCAAGTTACATATCTCTATGAATCGTCCACGTTAGCTCTTTGTCAGAGACTAATGGGACTAATGAAAAATAGATTAATAGTGAGTTGATTTTGTGTTTCTTTAATTTATTGACTAATATACATGATAGTGAAATATCAAAATTATTTGATTATAAAATTTTATGGCTGGTTTTGTAAACTTAAAAAGTTAAAAATAGATATAAAATGAGAATTTGTAAACTAATTAACTTAAATAAGTACTTCTTTAGAAAGCTAGATAAAATTTGCCTACGATGTAAACATTTATTAGACAGTCCTTGACTAGTTGATTATGAGTATGATAGTGTACTAGGGTACGTGGATATCGTTAAGTACTTGAGCTGTTATAACTTAGGAGAGCCATACACGAAGAAACCTTGGTGGCTCCAAGTCCATAATTCAATATATATTTCCTTTTTGACGTTGATCACTTGTAAGATTTCTTCATGTTCGTCCCATCGTTTCTGTCAAATGCAAAAGTTTAATTTTGTCTAACCTTAAATTAATGGAAATCTTCTTATCTCATTGCACTTATTTTAAAATCTAGAACGCATTTAATAGAACATTGGATTTTCCATATTTCCTATTCTTGAGAACTTGTGTAGCCTAATCAAAAATGCTTGCGTGTTAATAGAAGTCTCAATCTAAATAAGACGTGATAAATTGGCAAACCATATACACGACACCAAAAAAAAAAAAAAAACACGTACAAAACTACCGGACAAACGTTACATATATAAATGAAAGAACCTATTTATTATTATTCCTTGACAACAATTTACTAAAATCAGCATTGGCTGTGTTGTGTTTCCCCGAACAGGTAAAGGAATTTAATTAGTCAATTCCAAAGGATATGAGCTTCTGGGTTTCAAATTCCTTGGTCACTGTTCCTCTCACTGAACTTTCAAATTTTCAAGCATAATGCGTACTCAAGAATATTTACTTGATAGAATTAAATTAATTTATTATTATTAGTTTTCATGAAGTTAAAGTGTTCATAAGAAAATATCATAATCTGAGGTCATAAAATTGCCAAATTATTCTAATAATAACTCTGATATACCTTTTTTTTGGGACTAATTAACCATACATTTCAATTTTCGGTTGCGTGGGCTACTAGATTTAATAAGCTTGTTTTATTTATATAATTAAGTTTTTGTTGGTTACTATAAGTCCCTTAAAATATTTCACCGTTGCAAGCACGTAAACTTTTTTGTAAAGGCAAAATGGGTTTAAAGTTTAATTAAAACTTTGGGTATCCTCTAAGTACTACCCGTGGGAGCATAAATCCAAACAAAAGGCAAAGTGCGTACAAGTTTTCCTAAAGTTAATTTAATTAATTACAGAGAATTTCGTTTTTTTGTACGTAACAAACTCGATCGATCTCTCTTTACGGTGATTTTATGAGTACCACAGATTGAATGGTAATTTAATTACTCGTGCACTTACACAGTGCTTGAATTAATGAATGCTTTTCAAAACACAGGCAACTTGTTGCCTATTTATTGATATCGAGGCTGTGTTTCTGAAATAAAAAATTACTATTTCAATTCAACTATCTGGGATACATTATTTCACGTGAAATGTTAATTTCTTAGTTATGATTTATTAATGAAA